CAGTCCAGAGTTTTTGATGTCAAGGTTTTACTGCTTGGGACTATTAATGCCTTATCCATGTATAATATAACACTTGTTCATCTACATTGTACTTCATTCTTGTTTTTGTTTTTGTTGATTAATCAAAGCAGTGAATTAAACAGGGAAGATGTTGGAACTCTTAGAATGGGATCTGAAATTTCTGGCCATCTGCTATCAGGGATGAAGATTAAAACTGTGAAAAATTGTTATTCAAAAGCAGACAACTCCACAAAAGTGGCTGAGGTAAATAACTGTCAGTGATTCCTTTTTTTTTTTTTTTGTCAAACTTGTGTAAAAATGAAAATAAACAAAGATAAACAAAGATCAAAGAAAAGAGAAGAAAAAGTATGAAGTTTACCTTTTTGCAAGCTTATTAAAATTTCCTTGATTACTGCAATTCGTACAATTGTGATTAGATAATTTAAATATCATCGGGTATTTTGATTTATTTATTTTGATTGTCGCGACAATCAAAATAAAAAGCAGCTCGTGAAGGTTTGATTTTAATCAGTTTGATAAGTGGATATAAAAATATTTGATCAAATAATGTTTACATGAATTCTAAAAAAAGTCGTATAACCATCTAGCCACAAAAATAAACTTAAACAAAGGATCATTATTCTCTTCATAATTGCTGAAAATGTTCAGGTCCATGAACTACCTTTATCTCCCTTTGTGCAACTTACAAATCAGTAGAGCTACGGTCTTGTCAGAAATTTCTGGTTAGTATTCTTTCAGTAAAACTTTCAGGGACGTAAAAATTAAGTTAATTTAAATATTTTTTTTTCTAAAAGATTTCTAAGAACTTTTATCTATTTTTGAGCTGTTAAAGCTGCTTTTAAGGAAGAGGGGGGGGGGGGGGGGGGCAAAAGCTTATTTGCGTATTTGTAGAACAATCTAAGAATCTCCTATGATATACACTCTCTTATGTCATCTGTGTGTTGTTTATATCAAAATAGAAAAGGTGTATGTCTCAGGGAATATTCATGATAAGGGAAAAATATTTCAGTACCATCTACTCATTTCTGGTTAAATACTAGTATGTATTTTTTTTTTCACTTTGGTCAATTTCTCAAATTTTAATTTATTCAAATTTGGTAACTTGAGATATACATTATTTATTCTGCATATAAAGCAACATGTAATGTATTCTCCCTTTATAAAAGGGACAAAATCATTCAAGAGTGCCTCCTTTAAACTTCTTCATGAATTAAATCTATTTTTGATTTTGTAAAATATGTAGAACACCAACTATGACACATTTTTCATCTGCACACTCAGCTATGTTATGTAATGCACCGTATTTGAAGTTTAATTGTCGAAAATCAAATTAACGACATGATGATGTGAAAACAACAAATTGAATTCATTTATTTTATCAAATCTTTTAAAATTTCAATTCTTGATGGCAATAACGTCGAGAAATAGAAGAAAGCTTTATGTTAAATATGACGTCACCAGCCCTGACATGACGCAGCACAAGTGATCCAGAGGAAAAGAGTCACTGGTTTAATAATTACTAAAATTCTTGATTAAATATGAAATCATCGCTAATTTTTTTTTACATAATCATTATAAAACTAAAAACAAAATAATCTATTAAGTACAATGTATAAAGAATATGAATCTATTTTGTAGGATTGGAGCTGCACAGGGACAAGGAAGGTACGGACTATCTTAGAGCGACGCGTCGGTTGACAATGGTTTTCCTTGGGGTGTCAATTTCAACTGTTACCCTCAAAAACAGGCACCATTTATATAGTGGTAACTGACTATATTTATTAAAATTGAATGTAGTGCTAAATAATTCGGAAATATCATAAAAAGTAAAAGCTTTGTCAATTGAATCAATACCATTTTTTATTTCAATCATTTTCTTGTTTATTTCATTCAGATGTTTCTGTAGAATTTGTAACTGAGTATTTTTCATCTCGTCAACTTCAGCTTTTAGTTTCTTGACAAGTTTGTAAATTTCTCTGTGCCAGTCCTCTCCATGTTTTTTATCACTGTTGAGAGAATTTCATATTCCCTTTCTAAGTAACTCATTCTGTTTTGTACATCAGAGGCAATGTCCTGGTAGGTTGGATAAATGACCTCATTCAATTCAGTTTGATCTTTGGTCACCTTGTCTTTTATTTTTTCCAGAACGTCCAAGATTTCTGATAACCTATGACCTAAATGTTGGTCAGAGGCAATACGCTTTTTGCAAACAGGAAAGTTACGGTGCTTGCAGTACATTTTACATCGGCTTTTAGCATTAGATATAGACTCAGGGTAGACTGGAGTTGAATTTTTATCTTTGAAAGCAACAATTTTGTGAGACTTTGAGAGACTAGCTGAAGCATGTTCTCCCGCACAGGCCATACACAGGTTGACAAGACATGTATCACAGTGCATCTGTACTACAGCGGTCTCACACAGGTCACATTGCATCACGTCCTGGGCACTCGTACGTGGGTCCATGATTCAACCTTCAGCTCTGAATTATAGAGATAGTGTAACACATATTTAGCATGTTATCTGATGAAAACTTTACTTTAACCTCTTGAACTTTGTAATGCATTGATCGAACTCTGCTTGAACTTTATAAAATAACAAATTATTCAGGTGGCTTTTTATTACTTTTGGAATCAATGCATGATTAAATACCATAATACACTATAAAATGTATGTGTCACATGATTAATTTTGGTTACTTAATCATTTCTTGGAAGTAAAGAGGCATTTGGTAGAGTTTAAGAATCAATAAAGAATTTCTTTAAGTCAGGCTATATTGTACTTTCTTTATTATTAGTTAAAGTTATATTATCATCAGAAAAACAAAAAGTTCCACTTAGTAGAAATTTTTTTTTACTTTCTTATAGCAGAAACTAGTGATTGACAAATAGATCAAATGTGACATCTGTACCTGGATGATGCATATAAAAATTAATTGAAAAATAGCAATTCCTTTTCACTTAATAAATACTACACGTTTTTTTTTAAATCAGTTTAAGTTTAGAACTATAAATAAGAAACTTCGACTTTCATATCAAACGTTGTTGTATTTGTGATCATGTTCTAGGATCATTACAGGGATCAGCCATTTTTTAATTCCTCATGCTCGAACCAATGACTCACTTATAAAAAATATATGAACAAAACATGTTGATTTCAAGGGAAATATTATAAAACTTATCATAATACAAATATAAGAGAATCAGTTTTACCCGACTTCTGAGTGTAATAGCGGTCGTCCTATCGATCCTGTTGATATAAACATGCACTAACAATTTGTGTATCTATCTATATCAAATGACCCAAATAGGTTTATACTGTATCTATACAACTTTATTTTACTTCCTTGAAGAAGGGATTTAAAATTATAGATTTTATATTTAATAATATCAATGTGTTATTTCAAAGTCATGCATATTTTTGGAAAGTCTTACATGGAATTAGAGAAGAATCAAACATTGCAAAAATAATCAGTATTTTAAATTTCTTTCGAAGAATTCAAGTATTTTGACTTTACAAATTACAATTTTAGAATAAAAGAATGAACTCTATAAGGATGTCATAGAAAAAACGTAAGTGTTATAAATGCTGACGTAAGTTTTTGTTGTTGTTGTTGTTGCTATTTTATCTCTTTTAAATTTGAATGCTTTATCTTAAACAACATGTATGTGCTACAATAAAGTTAATTTACAGAGTACATTCTTATATTTCTTAAAAATATAAAGCTCTGGAAAAACAGTGCATTTGCAAATTTACTTTGTCACAATTCGAGTCATTTAACAGTATTTTAAAAGCATTGGAGCTGATTTTGTAACATATTGCATTTGACAAAATGATTTACATTAAATATATTATTCAGTAATACATGTAAAACCACATTTTCTTTGCAGAGGAGTGTTTCTAGTCTTGAGGTCCATGGTGCTAAGAAGGACAAAAACTTTCTCTATGTCAGTCCTAAGGACAAGGTCAATTTGAACAACATCATCATGGTTCAAAGAAATTTCTGTAATAAAGGTATTTCTTCAGAAACAATATGAAAGATGGATGCTATTGAAATGCACTCTCAACCACTATTGATATAATTATTTCAATAGTGGTCGTTATTTCAATAGTGGTTGCAACAATGCAGACTTAAGTAGGATACAAAAAACTTTTTAAACGCTATTCCTTTTTACAGTTTCGGTCTGATTTCAGTATACTGAGAATCTTTGAGCACAAGTAGACAATGCTGAGATACATTGTTGTCTATATTGTTGTTTTTTTTTTTATTTTGTTGAGTGATGTTGACATGATTACTAAAGTCAAATTTCTGTAGAAAATTTTTGAAAAGATTAAAAAGAGACTTTATAAAGGACCATAATTCTATTGATAGCCGTGAAAAGACTGATGATGATTAGTTTATTTAAAAATTCAGAGCAAGCAAACATTAATTAATTTGAATATTTGTTTTTCTTCTGGTTAACACTGAATATTTTGAGATTTTTTAGTCTTACCAGCTTATATCAAGCCGTTTTTAAATGATTGATGATTGTATACTGTTTAACGCCCCTCTCCAGAATATTTCACTGATATGGAGACATCACCATTGCCGGTAAAGGGCTGCAAATTTAGGCCAATGCTCGACACTTACGGCCTTTGAGCAGGGAGACTTGAGAAAACCTAGTATGATCCCAAGGAGATCATTTAAGTCTAGTGCATTACAATAAGCAAGTGTATTCCAATTTCCAACTCCAATTGATTTAAACCTGACAAATTGTATAAACGTGTAGTTTTACTATGTCTTATAAACCAACATAGTAATGCATACCCTTTATATAGGTGAGTGACAGCTTTAAACATTTTAATGTAATAGATTTCATTTTTATTTTTATAAAAACACATTTAGAACAAAAGTTATGACACATTTATAATGTATAAAATGTTCATTCAAATTTATTTTTAATATCAAAACTATTGTATCGTCTATAGTATTCTGATGGACTTCACTGAAGATATTTGATTTTCTTCACTTGGTTGTTTCCACATTGAGCAACAAACAGATTGTCATTTGAATCCGTACACAGTCTCAAAAGATATCTCAGTCCACAGTTTATGTAACGGAGGAACTGTCCATCCTGGTCAATAATGTGGACAAAGTCGTTGTAATATGTATTATCAGCTGTAAGGATGTGACTCTGACTGTCTGTGGTGATTCCTCGTGGAGTAAATGATCCTTTCTTTGTATGCCCAGTGTACCTGAATCTTAGTTTTCCAGCCTGATTGACCACCACTACTGCTTTAGCTCCATCATCAGATACACAGATATCCAGGTTCCTGTTCTCAGTTATAAATCTGTAATAATGAGAACCAGATGAAAAGAGAGGTCTACCATTATCATCAAACTGAATAGTTTGTTTCTGATTAGAGCTAAAACAACGGACAACTTTTGTTTGTTTGTTATCATCACTGAGCAAGATAACCAGGAAGTCTCCAGAGAAGGTACTACAGACACCGTGAGGTCTCCAGTTCTGTAGTCTGATTAATTCCTCTATCATTCCATTTTCACAATGTTCACAGTTCTATCACCATTATCGCTATAAACTAAATCTCCACTTTTTGTCACTGCTATGTCAGTCGGCCAGTTAGCAGGACTTAGTTGTGATTGACTTGAGTACTAATCCCTGATTGATGCTGTATAGTGTCATGGTGCTGATATTTCCACTTGTCCAGATTTCTTCATCATTCAGACAGACAACACTGTAAAGGTGATTTCCATACCAAGTGTTTATGGTGGAGACAAACTCTGGTTCACCAAGCAGCTGCTGTTGAAAGGAGAGGATCCAGCTTCTTGTGATTTGTGATTTGTTTCTTTCATGCTGTAGCAGTTCTTTTCTAATAATATGGAAGTTAATGATAAGGTTCCAAACAGCTTACTAAGTTGCTCTCCATTGATTCTTCCTTGGGTGAATGAGGGTGGGGAAAGCACAGTTTTAAGTGGTAGCTGCCTATATTTATCTACATCAAATGTATTCCTGAATAGTTTGGAAATTTCATGAGAATTGATAACTTCATCAATTAAATCGATTTCTTCTTTTATTTTAATAATTGTTTCGTTTATTTCATCTAGATGTTTCTGTAGAGTTTGTAACTGTGTGGTTTTCCTTTCATCAACTTCAGCCTTAAGTTTCTTGACAAGTTTGTCAATTTCTCTGTGCCAGTCTTCTTCGTGTTTTGTAATGGCTGTTAAGAGATCTCTATATTCCTTTTCTAACTTACTCATTCTATTTTGGACATCAGAGGCAATTTTGTGGTAGGTAGGATAAATAATCTCATGTAATTCAATATGATCTTTACTTAGCTTGTCTTTTCTTTCCTCCAAAACTTTCAAGACTTCCGATAATTTATGTCCTAGGTGTTGATCAGATGCAATGCACTTGGTGCATATAGGAATGTTACAATTCTTGCAGTACATTTTACAAGGTTTTTTTATCATGAGATTTACACCCAGGGTAGAGAGAAGTGGATTTTCTGTCCTTGAAATCAACGATTTCATGAGGTTTTGAGAGGTTAGCAGAAATGTGTTCTCCCATACAGGCCTTACACAGGTTGACAAGACATGCATCACAGTGCATCTGTACCACAGCAGTCTCACACAGGTCACATTGCATCACGTCCTGGCAACTGGTACGGGGGTCCATCATTTAACTTTCAAATCTGAAATTCAGAGTAAAGTTAGCACTAATAGTTATCTGATGGAAAACTGCACTTTTACGTAGGCAGAATAGCAATTTTGGGGGTATTTTGGGGGGGTTGGAATGAAGAAAGGTTTCTTTTATAATCAGACCATTGTCCTTTAATTCATGTTAACATTTCCATTTAATACCTTATTTAATATCTCATTACAGTGATCAACCAGATTTTACATGAATTCTTGAAAATAATTTTCATGATAAATGAATACACGTAATTAGAAATCATAAATATTATCATAAAGCAAATGTTTAAATGTAACAGAATCAATGTAGATATTAATTACCTGACTTATGATGGAAATGGCTGGTTTCTTAATATCGATCCTGTTGCTATAAACATACACCTATACAGTTTGTAGTTTGTGTAACTAATATCTCGATCAGGTGATCCACATAATGTGTTTATACCTGTACAGTTTTATTTAACTTCCTTGTAGAAGGGATTTAAAGTTATAGATTTATCTCTACTGCCAGAGACTTAAATAACAGAGATTCGCAGCTTTTCAAAGTCTCGCGCGATCTTGCGTTCCATATTGTTTAAATATTCAAATCTCATGCAATCTCATCAACTTTGAGATAAAGTAATGTCTCTCAACTACCGCTATCATTTTTTTTATTTCTAAATCATGCATATTTTTATCTGAAACACTTCAATGGAATTAAAGAAGAGTAAAATATTGCAAATATTATTGCTTTAAAGAATTCAAAACATTTGGCGTTGCAAATTTTAATTTTCGGATAAAAGAAAAAATGAACTCTTTGTGGATGCCATAGCAATGATCACAAGCATTATAAATGCTGATAAAAGTTTTTTAGCTAACTTGAGCCGAAGGCTCAAGTGAGCTTTTCTGATAAAAATTTGTTCATTGTCTGTCGTTGTCGTAGTCATAAACTTTTCACATTTTCATCTTCTTTTCAGGAATCATGCACTGGGCCAATTTCAACCAAACTTGCCACAAAGTATTCTTGGGTAAAGGAGATTCAAGTTTGTTCAAATAAATGGCCATGTCCTCTTTCAAGAGAAGATAATTATGAATTAGTGAAACATTGATGGCATTTTTAAAAAATCTTCTTCTCCAGAACCACTGGGCCAGGAAAGGCTTATGTGAAATCATCCTCAGGTAGCGAAGATTCAAGTTTGTTCAATTCATGACCCCTGGGGAAGGATGGGGCAACCATGAGGTGTCCAATTGTAACATAGAAACACATAGGAAAAATCTTTTAAAAAATTCTTCTCAAGATTTACTTGGCCAGGAAAGATGAAACTCATGCAGAAGCATCTTCTGAAAGGGAAGATTTAATTTTGTTCAAATACGAGGGGTGATCAAAAAGTTCGCAAACTAATTGAATAACTTCCATACAAGAGACAGTATTTGGTTTTAAAGTTGATTATATTTTAAATTAATCCTTCCCGATTTTAATGCACATCAACCACCGTTCTGCGTATGCGCAAATCACGTGATATTGGCGGTCACGTGACCCCCTCCGTAGCGTTCTGTCACAAAAGTTAAAAGATTTTTCCGAGTTTTATATTTCTTTCCATGTAAGTTAATTTTTATGACAAGAACAATTAATTTGTCAGAAATGGTCATATCTCGGCAACAGAATGGATGGATAATAACATCCTTTCCAAAAATAAGCATGGCGACCATTAAAACACAAATTAATCTTCTGTCTCAGGAGAGACCTTTATTCAAGGTTGATAGAGAATGGGTGCATCCTTTTTATCATATCTAATATGTTTAAAATCTAAAGTAAACGATATCTTAGGTATTTAATACCTATATCATTGTTCAAATATTCAACTATTTTTCAAAGTGCTAATTGGAGGTCTTCGATAGCAAATTGCCTAATTAAAAATACATATCTTTTCAAACTTGCTTTCACTGGGCAAGATGACAAGTATCATTTTTATCCATCAGCCTTCCTTCACTAAAACGATTAATCCAATCATTAATTGAATTTATAGGAACTCATTTATCTCAATAAACTGTGTACAAATTATTATATGATACTTTAGAGGGATTTCTAAGATATTACAATAAATTGTACAGTCGTTTGTTGAACGAGTTCGACTGCGACAACCATTTTTCGTCACAAGTAACCTAAATAGTGACGTCATTTTCACATTGTGACGTCACAAACAAGGAGAGAAACTTTACTTAGCATATTCTATTTATAGACCTTGTGTATGGCTATGTGTGTACCGAATTTCATTCTAATCTGAATTGTGGTTTTGTAGATATAGAGATAGTTTGCGAACTTTTTGATCACCCCTTGTAATGACCCCCCCAGGAGTAGGGTTGGGCCATGATTGGGTATCAAAGTTTAACATAGGAATACATAGGAAAAAACTTTTTGAAAAATATTTTTCTCAAGAACTGCAAAGTTGTGATTGGTCATGGTAATTTGGAAGCATCCTCTGAATGTTTAGATTAAGTTTGTTCAAATCATGATCCTTAGTGGTGGTTGGGGGATCACAATAGGGGATCAAAGTTTAACAAAGGAAAACATAAGAAAAATCTTCTCAAGAAAGCAAAGTCATGACTGGTCATAGTTATATGGAAGCATCCGTGTATAGTGTAGATTGAAGTTTGTTCAAATCATGACACCTTTGGCAAGGTTGTGGCCACAATGGGTGATCAAGTTTTTACATAAAAATGCATGGTCAAAATTGATAAAATTCTTCAAAAAGTCATCATGATGGTTGATCATCAATTTAAAAGCATGAAAAAAGTAATGTAAATTTGAAATTCAGGAGAATAGAGGAACCATAAAGTGGACATATAAATACAAAGGCTATATCAATAAACATTTTCATCCTATAAACAACAAAACCATATTGTGTCACAAAAGCATTCTAAGGAAGTGTAGATTTAAGTTTGTATTAAAACAAACTTAAATCTACACTTCCTTAGAATGCTTTTGTGACACATTATGGTTTTGTTGTTTATAGGATGAAAATTCTAAGCATTCTAAGGAAGTTTAGATTTAAGTTTGTTTACACCCCCCCCCCCAAGAACCCACTTTTATGATATATATCTTAATTTTTTAATACTGAACCAATTTTTGCTTTTCCCTAGCCAGTTGCTCAGGTGAGTGATGTGGCCCCAGTCCTCTGTTTTTTTCTTTCTATTTTATCGCTTAATTCGCTTTCAATTTGACACCTCTATTTTAAACATTAAGTATATGATATGCCAAAGTAAGTTTACAGAGCACAGAAATACTTTGTAAAATTTAAATATCACATAAAAGCCACAATGCTTCATGACAAGTAGCACTCATACTTTTATTTTTATATTTCAGAAATATACAAGTAAAGCTCTGGATTAACAGTTCTTTTGCAAATTTACATTATCACAATGCAAGTCATTTTAATCCAAAAGCACTCGAGTTGATTTTTTAACTTATTGTGTTTAAATTCTTTGACAAAATGAAGCGTATACTCTGTAGTGGTATGTTTAGGTTGGATGAATATTCTTTTTCAATTGATGACTTAAGCATTTTCCAGCATTTAGACAGCAGAGAGCAAACAGCCACACTGGAAAAAAGACAGACAACAACATTCTATGGAAACTAAAATCATAATAAACGTTTGTTCGTTTATAAGCATCATTCACCATGATAACCAGCAGATCATCCAATGAAGTAGTACAGGCAGCACGAGGTTTCCAATCCTGTAGACGGATCATTTCCTCAACATTTATTTTCTCATTCTTCGCAATGTTAACAGTTCTATCCTTGTAATCGGTATAAACTAGGTCTCCACTTTTTGTCACTTCTATGCTAAAGTGTGTAGTCCCTGACTTAGTTGTGATTGACTTGAGTAGTGATCCCTGATTGATGCTGAAAAGTTTCATTGTGCTGTCATCCCCACTTGTCCAGATTTCTTCATCACTGAAACAGGCCACATTGTAAAGGTATTTATAACCAGTGTTTATGGTGGTGACAGTCTCTGGTTCATCAAGCAGCTGTTTGACTGGAGCAGAGGATCCAACTTCATGTAATTTCTGTGATGTCTTTATGTTGTAACCTTTCTTTTCTGGGGATAGGGAAGTTAATGATAAAGTTCCAAACAGTTCACTGAGTTGCTCTCCATTGATTTTGCCTTTGGTGAATGTAGGTGAATAAAGCGTAATTTTATGTGGTAGCTGTCTGTACTTATCTACATCAAATGTAGTGCTAAATAAGAGACTGGAAACAGTATAAGAGGTAACAGCTTTGTCTATTGAATTGATTTCATCCTTGATTTCAATAATTTTTTTGTTTATGTCATCCAGTTGTTCTTGTAGAGCTTGAATCTGCTTGTGTTTAATCTCATCATATTCAGCTTTTAGTTTCTTGACAAGTTTGTCAATTTTCTGTGCCAGTCATCTCCATGTTTTGTTATGGCTGTTAAGAGATCTCCATATTCCTTTTCTACCTGACTTATTCTGTTTTGTACATCAGAGACAATGTCTTGGTATGTTGGATAAATAACCTCATTTAATTCAATATGATCTTTTCTTAGTTTGTCTTTTCTTTCCTCCAAACTTCCAATATTTCTGATATTTTATGACCTAGATGCTGATCAGATCCAATACATTTGATGCACACAGGAACGTTTACAGTACATTTTACACCGCCCTTTCCCATGAGATGTACACCAAGGGTAAAGGCGGGTCGATTTTCTGTACTTGAAATCAACAATTTTATGAGGTTTTGAGAGATCAGCTGCAATGTGTTTTCCCACACAAGCTTTACACAGGTTGACAAGACATGTATCACAGTGCATCTGCACCACAGCGGTTTCACACAGCTCACATCGCATCGCATCCTGGACACTGGTTCGGGGGTCTATGATTAAACTTTTAACTCTGAAATATAGAGTTAGTTTAACACTTATGGTTATCTGATGGAAAATTGAACTTATTCAACCTTAAAAGGGAGAAGTGCAATTTTTGGGTGTAAAAATGAGCAAAGGTTTCTTTTAATCATAAAAATTTCCCATTACAGATTAAAAGTTAAAACTGTGTCAACATTTCGATTTAATAAGAAAGACACTTGGGTTCTTCAACAGAAACTGGTGCTTTACAAATGGAGCAAATGATCTTTTTATCAGATCATGTATTAAAGGTCAATATATATATAGAATATCACACTGCTGTTTTGATCTCGCCTGGATCACCCAGCGGTTGGATTGGCCCAAGCCCAGAGGGCGCGGCCAGACCACCCGAGGGCGATACCAGGGACCAGATCAAAACAGTGGTGTGATGTTGTTTATGTCATATATCTTAAAGCAAAGAAAAGAACAAATATTTTGATATTTTTTGATCATCACGTTTATAATTTTGTCAGAAAAAAATATTAGAGTTATTTTCTTTATTTCGATGTTCCTGGAGATGTTGCTTGACGGTGAATACTCAAATAGAGATTTGCCTGGTCTGGTCATTTAAAAGAATAGTCCTTTTGAAACATTTCATTTCGAAGCACATTAGAAAGATTTAAAAGGTCCCGAACTTAAAAATATTCTACTTTCACTTTTGATCGAACCGGGTGACAACTTCGTCAACGAATCGTTACAATTTGTAAACCTGAGATTTATAGTAACTATTTGTTTTGTTTACAATATATATTTAATTTAAAATGGCACATTAAATGAAAACTTGGTATTGTCTTACTGTCAAAGCAAATAAACGTCCTTTGTTTCAAAGCATGACTTGTTGCTGTCCTAGAAAAAAAGTTACCTCTCTTACGTCACAAGTGCTATCATTTGGCGCACTTTTTAAAAACAATTTTCTCAAAATTCTAATATGAATAAATCTTTTTTAAAGATTCTTGTTAATTTTTTCGATATATAATGTTACTCTTTAATACTTAAATATGAATTTTACTCTTAATTCACACAAATTAAACAGAAATAATGATTTGAAATTTGAGGGCGAGAAAAGCCCCTTACGACGGGCCGAGACAGATATCCCAGCCCTGAGGGCGAGACAGCCCTACTTCCGAGGCGCTGTCTCGCCAAGTCCAAAACGCCTGTATCAGGGCTGATACACTACTAGGTATATGATATAATATAATAACTTTAACTCATTATTGTTTTCTGAACTGGAAAGATATAAAAGAGTAACACTAGAAACGTACACTATTTGATCAATATTTATAAACACACAGTGGGATAAGGCTTTATTGAAACGCACAAATATGATAAAGGTGTCGCTCTCAGTGTACTGTATACTTTTTCCTTAGCAAAACCTTTATCTCTCAAGCGTTTGCAAGACTCTCTTACCAGGCAAATTGTCAGTGGACAAACTAGATAAAGCCGGAAGTAAAAGATTTTTTTTATAGATATACGTCACAGCCTGTATGAATTTTTAAGGCGGATTCCGCCTGGAATTTGGGTGGAATTGAGCAGGAATTGGCAAATTCCGGGCGTACTTGAGGCGGAGACGGAATTTTCGAAAATTACGCCTCAGTAGAAGAAAACGTCTTACAGACGTCATTTCTAAATTCCGGGCGTCAATTGGCAAGTTCAGATTTTCCGGGCGTAAAATGGCAGGAAAATAGAAACAAAAATTACGCCTGGAACTTTCAGGAGAAGTAAAAGCCTCTGATTGGTCAATTTAATTATCAATTAAGGGTCATTTCAGATAGGAGGTTAAGTTTGAATTTGATCATGAAGGAGGGAGTTTAGTGTGAGTGAAACAGGAAATGCAGATATCTCAATGTTAAGGCTTTTACACTTCTTGAGGATGATCATAACACAGTGTCTTCTGGTAGGTGTGATCATGAAAATCTAGTACCTATTTGAGTAAATTTGATTATGATTATGTACAATGATAGTTATAACTGGTTGACCCTAAAATTACTTTAGAATTATTTGAGTTTGTCCTTGCACACATTCTGAGAATATCAGTCTGATAGAGGCTGCAGTGAGAATCTAACTGTAAACTGCTGAGTAATTGAAGAATTGTATTCAGTCAGTAACTAAAATGTTTCAATATAATTATTGAAGTGATAAAATGTACAGGTATTGTAAAAAAGTTTAATTCTAAATACACACTCAATCATGGTGGTCGTGTTTTAGTGTCCCTAATGCACAAAATTCATGTTATTTTTCTATACTTGTTAATGATATATGTTAATGACATGTCATTATGTTTTCTTACAGTTAAAAAAGCTAAATATTTAGCTTTAACATTGTAAATCATAATCTGAATGTTTTTCTTTGTTAACATGGTGAATATATAGGTTTTTAGGTCACATAGTATTATATAATAATAAGGACATTCCAGGCGTAATTTTATTCCAGGCGTCATTTTAGTTTCCAGGCGTAATTTTTTTACGGGCGTCATTTATTTTTCCGGGCGTAGCTCATTTGCATTTTTCGCCTCAAATTCCTGCCCATTTACGCTTGGTTTCCGCCTAAGTTACGCCTGGAACCTGTGTATCACCATATATGTAGAGAGACAAATTGACGCCTCTCCAAGTACGCCTCAATTTCCCCTATATTCCAGGCGGAACATTTCGTACAGGAAGTCACATGGTGTGGAGGACCCTTAAGGAAAAGCAATATATTCACAATTGATACTTTTTGTGCCAGTGTAAGTTCCATATGATCGATGGTTGTCCCAGAAAAACGCAAATATTTTTTTTATTTGTGTCACTAAGATTATGAAATTAAAACATCTTTTTAACAATGCCTAAAACTTCAATGACATATTTCTATAAATAACACTTTTTTCTCAGGGAAATGAATCCAACAAATCCGCTGTCGGCGCAACACTGATGACATTAAAACGTTGCTCGTAGTGTTTGTGAATTTGTTCTGGAAAGTGTGCCTCTAATAAGATTCAAATAAACATAAAATTAAATCGGCACTGAATTTAATTTTCCTTTAGTAACCAAATTATACATCTCAAATACTAGTGTTACCAAAAGATTGCGCAGTTAATTCTTTTGACAGACAATTTCACATTCCCAATCATAAACCTAATTCTCTAAGGTCTTAACGTAGCTTATGACGCCCTGCTCTTGTCATTTCATTCTTCTTCTCTTTGGTCTATTTTCTTCTATCGGATAACCAGTCAAGTCAACCTCAAACTCCCTCAGCTAGAGATAAACCTGCTTTCTATTCTTATGTTTGTATTTTTCATCGTTAACATATCTTTGTATCCCTATGTACAGGAGTTGTATCCCGCTCCACATTCGTGCTCCAAAATACCGCCTTACAATGTACGTCATCATTCTTGACAATGTTAAATTCAAAGTGCTTTGGAATATATCATTATATATTTGTCATTAATTATGCCAAATAGATTTATTTTTAATATGAGCACACAACATTAAAGAGTGTTTATGGAGGTAACATATGTAACATTATATTTCCTTATAGCATGATTAAAAAAGAATACTTCATTGACTATGCTATTTGTAAATGTTAAAATTTCTCTTGCGCCAACCACCGATATTTAAAATCTTCTATGTACATTTCTTTTATATGCATGTGGCATCAAAGGCCTATAATGTGTTGTCAGAATAACAAAAAGATCATTTTCCTGCAAAAAATTATTGGTTTTTGTTCAATAGTATCTGTCCTTGGTCCTTACAGAGATCAGCTATTTTTTTAATTGCACATACCTGGCCTAATGACTCAATATTGAGAAAAGCGTTGTCTTTTGCTGTCGACGGCTTACTTTTACACTGAAACAATGTACAGTAAATATTTAGCACACTATTTTATAAAATGAGAGAGACGTGCTGGAATAAGGTATATCCTGAAATAACGCCCTTCATATTCCTTTGCTCCAAACACAATACATGTACCTATGACAACTAGAAAATGTTCTTTTCAATATCCGTTAATTAATGTAACTCCGTACATGACACAAGTTTAAATGTCAAAGTAAACTCACAAAAGTCCTATAAGGATGACTTTGTGAACAAATCTTGTTTACAAGAATCTTAAAATATAATTTTCAAGGGAAATTTTAGAAATAATCACAATGCAAATGTTACAGAATTAATGTAGATAATGTATTACCTGACTTCTGATGGTAATGACAGGTGACCTATCTAAACACACACCTATATGTCTATATGTATCTTCTTTCCAGATTTGGTAACCCAGTAGCTGTGTATATACATATACACTTATTTTACTTCCTTAATTTTCACAGTATAGAGGGAGTTTCAATTTAAAATTAGAATTTCTCTACTGCTATCATTTTGTTGAAAGTTTAAGTCGCGCATACCTTTTCCTTGAATTTTTTTATGGAGATAAAGGAAATTAAAATATGCAAAAA